CCTTGTTTTGTTGTTGTATCCCTTCTTCACTGTTTTTTTGCTGTTTGATACATCAATAAAAAAATTTAAAAAAAAAATTACCAATAAAAAAATCCTCTAAATCAAATATTGCCTTCATGTTACATTTATCGATATGTGTTTCATGGTATGCCATGAAGTGTAATGCTTGCTTTGAGTAGATGTGAAACTGTCAAGGAAGAGAAGGAATGGTCTGGTGAATTAACTTTGTGACTACCATTTTTTAATCTCACCGCGTACTATTTTTAATCTCGCCGTCTACTTTCACTACAGGAATTTGTACTTTTGCCGATTAAAAATTTAGTCAACAAAAGTTTATTTTTAGTTAGCAAAAGTGATCCACGACTAATTTTTTTGGTCGCCACTTTGGTCGCCAATTGAGGGTCGCGAAAAGTAATTAGCGACTAAAAAGTTTTTTAGTCAAGAAAAAATTCTATTTGCCGACTAAATTTTTGATCGCTAAATATACAATTATCGCGACTAATTCATTTTGTAGCTAAAAGACTTTAGTCGTCAAAAGTGATATTTTCCCGACTAAATATGTTAGTCGCCAATTGTCACATTTCCCGACCAAAATGGTTAGTCACCAAAAGTAATGTTTACACGACTAAAACTTTAGTCGGCAATAGACCTATTTGCAACCAAACATTTTAGTTGTCAAAATTAATAATTTTACCGACTAATTATTTAGTCGCCAAATGTACCCTTTCATCTACCAACATTTTCGTCGCTAAATGTGAATGGTGAAACACCGACTAATCACTTGATTGCCAAAAGAGAAAAAACCAAACCAAATTTTGGTAGCCAAATCAATTCTTTTTGTTTATCAAAATACAACTAAAATATAAAAACAATTCCATTTGACCTATATGATATATAATAATCAATCGAAACCATTCAATATAACTTGTAATTTGCAAGAATCATTCAACCAACAAAATCAACTAAATCATGAACATTCAACAAAATACATAAATCAGTCAAAAATTAACGTGTTTAATTAAAATCAACTATTATAAGTTTTCATTCACAAGTAATTCCCAACTACATAATCGTGCAATTAAATATGTCATGTAATCTATATAATTATCCAATTCACATATAGTATAAAAATTTAAAATTTAAAAATTTAAAACATAACAAGTAGTTGTTATTATGTTTTAAATTTTTATCCATACGCATCTATCCAAAAATATAACTAGTAGTCTATCCAAATATTTTCCATATACATCTATCCAAAAATATATAATCCTTCAAAAAAATGTAACAAGAGCCAACTAGTCCTGTACAATTCAGCTTCGTGCACGAGTTCATCTGTACAAAAGAAAAAAAAAATAATGTTAAGTAATTTTTATATGAAAATATTTGCACATCACTCGGATTGTAAAATTGAACAAAAATTGAAAATGATCCATGGAAAGTAAAGATAACATGAACAAATTAAAAGACTATCAACACCATTTTGTAAATAATTCAACATTTATATGTATACATTCAATCAATATTAAAATGCTAGCAATATCAATGCACTACACTCAGAAAATTCCATAAGTAATAGATGTATGACTCGCAGATTAAATTCTATCAATATAATAATTCTACTAATTGAAATAGATGTTATCAATCAATGCTTACATTTGGATTTTATATCTCATATTGCAATAACTAGACAGCATATATATATAAGTGAATATTTGATCTAGCAAGTTTTTTTTTTGATCGGCAAAGAAAAATCTTTATTAACAAAACATTGAAGGAATGAAGTTTACATCAATAAAGAGGAGCTTAGGCCTGGACAGACCCAAGCGCCAGTTGGTGAGAAACCAACAAAAATAGAAGGAGAGGGAGAACAAAAACAAATTAGAAAACCAAAACAGAGGTAAACAAATCAGCAACACAGCCACATGGACCCATGAAGACAGCCACATAAACAAATCAGCACTATAACACCACATCAGCCCCCGCCAATCAGCAATCCCCAATTAAAACAATTAACTCCACACAGCCCAGTAAGAACAAAGACTGATATGACCAGAGACTTCCTCATCAGACCATAGACCTTCCACATTACCCCTGCACTCTTGCTCAGTGTAATTTATTAGCCCAAAAACTGAGCAATACAGTGACCCACATCGGCCCAGCCGATGTATATTTACACCCAGCAACACAGCTGAAACTTCTGCCAATCGAGACCCGTCCACTGTATTTCAAAGCAGGCTACCCTTCCAAGTATCTGTCAGCACATCTCAGCTCAGGACACCATACCAGCACACCCACCCAAGCACTCCCTCACCTGCCTCAGATTAAACACAAAGTCGTGGACTGAGAAATTAAACTCACTGAAGACTAGCTTCAACCAAAATGCAACCCTATATTTAATTAAATCACATAGGTCCTCCAGATTTGGGATAGATTTTCTAAATACACATTCATTCCTGCACTTCCACACAGACCACATTACTGACAATGGAATCACCCTCCAGATCTTCCTCTCCTTCCTCTTTAGCTTCTCCCCTGCCCACCACAGCAATAAACTTTCCACCGATCCTGGAATAGCAGCTTGGATACCCCACCATGCCAACATGTCAGACCAGACCCTCCACACAAAAGGACACCATACTAATACATGAGTCACTGATTCTGTGTCACTGCCACAAAACACACAAGCAATAGAATCACTAGAGGTGATCACCCCCAGTTTTTGCAAAAATTCCTTAGACTTAAGTCTTTTCTTCCATGAAAACCAACCAAAGACCTGCACCTTAGGAGGGATATATTTAAGCCAAATCAATTTGGTGATGCTCAGCTTAGCACCCATATTTACCCCACCCCTCCTGTACATATCAGCCACTGTGAATAGCCCATTAGATGATCCTAACCATGAAGGCCTATCAACTCCCTCTGAGCACTGAACAGGAGCCCCCCTCAGATATTCAAAAAGCCTTGACACCTCATGCTCTTCCCACTCATATAGCCCTCTTCTGAACTCCAAGACCCATCCACCCACTGCACTTCTCTTGTCAACCACACTTCTTAAGGATTCATTTTTAACCACAGCCAACCTAAATAAGGTTGGAAATTCATCCTTCAAGCAGACAGTCTGCCACCACAAATCAGTCCAGAATCTGATTCTCCTCCCATCCCCCACCTTCAACTTAAAATTATTGAAGTAAACTTCCTTAAGGCTACTACACTGCTCCGCCACTGCTATAATCCCTTTCCAAACTCCCGAGTGCCTATTTGATGGGAAAAAAGTTGGGATCCATCCATCAAGCTCCACCCTATACCTGCTACAGATTACTCTTTTCCACAAAGTGTCCTTTTCGCAGCCAAACCTCCACCACCATTTAATTAATAAACAGTTGTTCACATCCCTAACTTTTCTAATACCCAACTCACCTTTTTCCACTGCGTTTGCCAAGTCATCCCACTTCACCATATGAATTTTTCTAGCCGAGGCAGTCCCACCCCATAAAAATGTAGCCTGAATCTTCTCCAATTCTCTAGCTACCCCTTCAGGCAACTTGAACAAAGATAAGTAGTACACTGGCAATGCTGAAGTTACCGATTTGACAAGTGTTAACCGCCCTGCAAATGACAACAACTTTCTCTTCCAACCAGCCAGCTTGCTTTTGACTTTATCCACCACTGGTTTCCATGTAGCTTTCTTCCTTGGATTAGCACCTAATGGCATCCCAAGGTACTTTAGAGGTAGTGCCTTAGTTTTATAGTTCAACACTGCAGCACAGCTATCTAACAACTCCTTAGAGACACCCACCCCGCATACTACACTCTTGTGGAAGTTTATTTTGAGTCCTGACATGATTTCAAAACACCTAAGCACCCTTTTCAACTTTCGCACTTCATGTACCTGAGCTTCACAAAACAGTAATGTATCGTCTGCAAACTGAAGATGCGTTAACAGAACGCCGTCATGGCCTACCTTAACCCCTTTTAATAAATTCAACTGGGACGCACGACTTAACAACTTATGAAGACCCTCTGCCACAATATTAAACAAGAAAGGGGACAGAGGATCTCCTTGTCGCAAGCCTCTTTGTGGGCTAAACTCCTCCGTAGGAGATCCATTAACAAGCACCGATAGCCTTGCAGTTGTTACACACTCCTTAATCCACTTAATCCACTTTGCTCCAAACCCAAAATTAGATAACATTGAGAAAAGAAACCCCCAATTAACTGAATCATAGGCCTTCTCAAAATCCACCTGGATAAGTAACCCCTTCTTCTTGGCTTTCTTCCATCCGTCTACAACTTCATTAGCTATTAGCACACCATCTAAAATATTCCTCCCACTCAGGAACGCAGACTGAGATTCACTAATGATATGAGGCAAAACAGATTTTAGTCTATTAGACAACAATTTTGCTAAAATCTTATAAATAGAACTCACCAAACTAATAGGTCTATAATCCGATAGCCCTATTGGATTTTCTTTCTTAGGTATAAGGGTTAAAAATGAACTATTTAAACCCTTTACCAACTTCCCATTGGTTTGAAATTCCTTCACAAACTGAATCACATCACCCTTCATAACTTTCCAGAACTTCTGGTAACACATCAAATTAAACCCATCCGGTCCCGGAGCCTTATTCCCATCACAATCCATCACTGCTGATTTAATTTCTGCTTCCAAAAAATCTGATTCTAACCATCCAGCCCTCCCCCTGCCTATCACTGTTGAGAAGCAACCCCCCAACACAGGTCTTGATGGCCAATGCTCTGAGTACTGATTTTTAAAATGATCAAACACCTTGCACTTCACTTGACCCGGTTCTTCCACCACCGCCTCCCCTTCTAGTATAGAATTTATTTCATTTCTACTAGTTCTGCCTTTTGCAACCACATGGAAGAATCTTGTATTCTTGTCCCCTTTCATTGCCCAGGTGAGTCTTGACTTTTGTAACCATAACCATTCAACCATCCTACTCAACCTCCACATCTCAGCTCTGACTTCACTTCTCCTAACTTTCGGCCCCATCAAGTTCTCTATCTTCAGCCAAGATATCAAAATTATGGAGTTCACCCTCTGCTGTCTTTAGCTTATTTTGAACATTGCCAAATACCTCCCAGTTCCAACTTCTAAGTCTACCTTTCAATCTCTTCAATTTTTGAGACAGAATGAAACCAGCCCAGCCTACAACCCCAGGCTCTCTCCAACTCAACTCCCAAAACTTACGAAAATCTTTGTGTAGAAACCAGGCGTTTAATACCCTAAAGGGTTTTGGACCCCAATCTCTCTCATCCTCCATTAACAGCAGTGGACAGTGATCAGAGAGCAGTCTAGGGAGACCCCACAGCTTAAAATTAAATACCTCAATCCATTTTGGGTCTACAAAAATTCTATCTATTTTGCTCCATTTCTCACCAAGACTAGAGTTGCACCACGTGAACCTTCTCCCAAGTAAAGGTAATTCAGATACCTCACACTTGTCAATAAACTCGTTAAAATCTTTCATTCCTCTATCTCTCCTCGAACACCCTTTCCTTTCCCCAATCTGTCTAATCTCATTAAAATCCCCCCCTAAACACCATGGGTTCAGAAATTCCTCTTTTAGCTTCAACAAGCTCTGCCACAGATTCCCTCTAGGTCCCACATCATTAGGAGCATAAATGTTCAAAATAGCACAATGAAAATGGTTAAGGATAGCACCTGATAACAATATGAACCTTCTGTTGCTGCAACACTCCTTAATTTGGAATATATCAGGATCCCAGATACACAGCAAACCCCCTGCAGAGCCTTCGGCATCCACCCCCATATACTCCATTTTTTCCTTTGCCCAAACTGATCTGACAACTTCCTCAGATAATTCTGCTTTCTTTGTCTCTTGGAACAGGGCAATATCTACTTGTCTCTCCCTCACAATCTTCTTAATTTTGCTTCTCTTCTCCTTCCTCCCCAACCCCCTAACATTCCATGAGAGAATCTTCATTAGGATATCATTGCTTCACCGAATTCCCCCCAGCAGGTAAACCTACTCCCCAACTCCCACCCCCCCTGCATTTCGGTCCATATCCTTCAACTCAAGGTCCATTATTTTCTCCACTACTTCAGCCCTTTTCCCATTTAGTTTCATCCCAAGAAGTTCCCCCAATTTCAGTGTTGCTTCAGCCTCATTGAGTACGACCCTCCCTCTGTCCATGCCATCCTCTATAAATGCATTTAAGGACGATCCCGCCACTGCTGCTCGCCAATCCGCTGCCTTGGGTCGTGCCGAGCTTGTTGCCGCACCTCTGCTCCCATGTCTTCTCCTTGGATCGGCTGACCTTCGTAGTAGTAGATTCGGATTGTATTTGTTAATACATTTGATCCTCTGTTTCCCTTTTTTATTCCTTCTTAGACTGCAACCGGGTTCCTTATCATGAGCTTCTGATAGAGTTGATAACCTCTCAACTGGCCCAACTTCTCTACCCTTGTTACTACAAGTATTTCCTTGCTGCCCCAGCCCACACCGTGGGAAGCAAGGCCCATTCCCCTGATTTGGTGTATTAATCTGGCCCAACATAACTTCAATATTTACGCCCGGCCTTTCTATACTAGGTCTGTCTATACTTCTAACAAAACCTTGCATACTAACCAGCTCAACCTTACTCTGACTAACTACCGTCTCCTCCGAAGAGCCGTTCCTCTGTTTTCGCACATCCATCATTGCGTTACAGTCCCCAGTAGCCTCTATGTTAGCCCCTACACTTGTACCAGCTATGTCTTCCTCTATACTCCTCCGACCTTCCCTGTTGTCCACCTCCTCACTCCGATTTTCGCCATTTGGCGTACCTACATGGGCCACATCACACCCATTCGCCATATCATCTGCTGAATCACCCTCTCCGTCAGCATCTTCATCTTCCTCATTCCTGATATGATCATCCATGGCATTCGAACTGCCAATCTCCACCTCATGTTGAACTTTATGACATCTGCAAGGACATTTTCCAGATTTGAGGTTGATCACCTGCTCTTCACACACCCTTACTGGAAAGACCCTCCCCCTGCATTCCAGATTTACAACCGAATTTATGGATTCCATGCTTTTGGTAGAAATCTTCACCTTTGCACACACAAATGTCACTGGTTCACTCATATCTCCTTCAAAACATAACACTTTCCCCCATACCTCACCTATCTTTGTTATGTTGGAACTATTCCACAAATGCAATGGAATGCCATAACAACTGATCCATACGCTTCTTTCCTGCTCCAACACCTGCCCTGGTTTTCCTTCGGACATTTCTTCACACCAATCACCAATCAGTTCCTTAATAGTTGGAAATTTCAGTGCCCTTTCCTTCTTTGAATTGAATGTTATAACAACATCCCTTCCCCCACTTTCTTTTACCATTACATCCTCCACACCTATCGCTGCTATCTCTTTCTTCAAACTAATATTAGCATATGATACCTTCAATCTGATTATTATACTCTCAATCTTACTAAATATACAAGAGACCAAATGTGATTGGTTGCCAAAAGAATAATGACATTTAAACATCCAATGATATTTGGACATGTATGTTTTTAGTAAGATTAGTAAGATTTTAAGTAAATATAGTATTGCTCTAAATTGAGAATGGGATATTTTTTAATAACATGATATTAAATTGAGAGTGGGATAGATATTATTGTGGATGATGGATATGGATGAATATTTTATTATTTTATTTTATATTTTATACCAAAAAAGAGAGTGAGAAGGCGCGAATAGTAGGAAACGTGTGTGCGGGAGTTGTAGAAGTTGTGGGTTTCTTTTTTTGTTTTTAATAACGTGATATTAAATTGAGAGTAGGATGGATATTATTGTGAGTGATGGATATGGATGACTATTTTATTATTTGAGTTGTGGGTTTCTTTTTCCTTTTGTTTTAATAATGTGATATTAAATTGAGTGTGAGATAAATATTATTGTGAGGGATGGATATGGATGACTAATTTATTATTTTATTTTATATTTTATATAGAGAGAGTGAGTGACCAGGCCTGAATATTGGGAATGGAGATGAAGGGAGGTGCCACGTAATATTTTTTTTCTTCAAAATTATGAAATTTTAGGATTCAAATTTTGGAGTTTTTTGACCTAAAAATCACATTTTGTTATATATATAGTATAGATAGATAGATAGATAGATGAAGCAGTGTTTTCCCCTATGACACATTTTAAAGGCTTATTATTTTCAGGATGTTTTTTTTATTTACATATAGAGTTCTATACAAACTCAATTTCAATTATACAAAACAATTTTATATGAACTCTATTTGAGAAATTTTTCTTTTTCATATATTTTTCATCATATATTTAGTTTTTTCATTATTTTTTTTATATAGTTTATATCTTAATTTAATTATCATGATATTTGAAACAAAAAACCAATATACAAATAAATAAATAAATAAGACCAAATGTACTTAATTATGTATATCACAAACATCAAATTAATCTCATTTTATATTTTTTTTGTCTATCTTATTGATGTCTTAATATTAATTTATATTTAATTTTTTATTTAACATGAAATTATATATTTTAAAAATTATACTTAATTTAAATTTTATATACCTATATATAATATGTATGAATAATTTAAAAAGAATGTTAAAGAAAAAATCAATATTGTATATAATTAATTTATGTATTTTCTTCTTAATCCAATTACAACATATTTATATTTAATCTTTTAAATAATTTTTTTGTAATTCTATTTCTACATATTTTTATTTTTCAAATAGAAATAAAAATAAAATAAAATAAAATAATTAGAATCACTTTTAATTTTATATTACTAATTATCTCTCTAATTTAACTATTACTTGTATGAGTATTTATTTTACTATCCTATAATTTAATAAATATCGTATAAATCATTCTATGATAATTCATATTCTTATTTTTCAAATGACTATCAAAGAAAATTAAATAATTATAATCACTTTTTAATTTTATGTTATTAATTCTCCTTCCAATTTAACTATTATTTTTAATGTCAAAAATAAATATTTATTTTATCTATCTTATAATTTAATATGTATCATATAAAATTATTATATGGTTATTACACTTTTATAACACAATAGAACAAAAATTATCAAAATAAACAAATAATTTAGCTAAATTTGTTATAGGAAAAATTACCTATAAATCACATCTTGAAGAATGGTGATCCGATTAATCCCAAGAGTTTTTTTATAAACCAATTAGTACCATTCATTTTGGAAAGGTAGATTTAATATATTATTTAAAAATTAGATTTACGGTTATACCTTTATTTCTATTATGTTTTATTCTCTCTTTCTTCTTCTTTTGTGCTAAAAATGTATGATACATAACTTATGAGAATTAAATTTGGGATGAATTTTATATGGGAATCTTTTTTATTTGGAATGACTTGAAATATCGGATTCTTTAAACATTCCAAATGGATGTGGGATTCTTCAAATATTTCAAAAGGAGTGCAAAAACTATTTAGTAAGTTTTGAGCAAATGTATAATTTCAATATGTAATACTCAAACATAACACTCCAATGTAACACTCCAAAAAAAACTTCTTATTGTACTTTTTTCAAACGTAATATTCCAATGCAACACTCCAAAAAAAACTTCTTAGTTTAACACTCCAATGTAACATACCAAAAAATTCCTTAGTGTACTTTTTTCAAACGTAATATTCTAATATAACACTGCAAAAAAAAAAGATGTGGGATTCTTTAAACCATTTCAAAAGGGTGTAAGATTCTTCAAACCATTTCAAAAGAAATACGAAAATTCCTTAGTAACCTTTAGATAAATGTATAATTTCAAATTTTACGTATAGAAAAAAATACACTAGGTAGTTTTCTAGTGTTTTTATATATGTTACATTGGAGTGTTACGTTTGAGATTACAGTGATTGAAGTGTTACTTTTGGAAAAAGTATACTAAGAAATTTTTTTATGTGTTACATTTTTTTTTTTATTGATCAGCCAAAAAAAAAAATAGTAACTTTATTGATGATAATTGACATGAATATATATGACCATATATCAATAAAGGAAGAAACGAGAGCAAAAGCAAAAGCAAAAGCAAAAGCAAAATTGTATATCTACCTAATCCCAACTAGGTTGGCACCAAGTAAGATACACAAACAAAAGCTAGCTCAGGCAAGTTGGTGAGAAACCAACACAGAAGAGAGACAGAACGAGAAGAGAACGAGAAAAAAAAAAAAAAAAAAAACAGCAACAGCAACCAGATGAAGGACCAAGATGTAGCTTCACTTCAAGCCTTCCCCTAGGGCTAAGCAAGGAAGCCGTAAAATCCGTAATTTGATCCAGTCCAGTCCAATCCTATAGGTTTGGATTGGTTTTTTGAATCCGTGGTTCGATTTCGGATTGAAGAATTAAAAATCCGTAATCTACGGATTGGTTCTGGATTGAACCCCACGGTTCCGGATTGGAACTGATCCGAACCGTATATAAATAGTCTATATTTTTATTATACAACATCCCGTATAGTATCTTCTCTTATTCCATATAAAACCTAAACACAAACCTAAACCCGCGTAGTATATTCTTTTATTACTTTTGTTTGTTGGTTTTTAGTTTTATTTCTAATGATCTAAATACTTATGGTGGAACCAGTTTTCTTATGGTTGTTTACATTCTAGAACAGTATATTGGTATTATAGAAAGACATGTTATTATTGTGGAACTAATATAGTACTATGTTTATGTTTATGTTTTTATGAAATTAAAGTGTTATATATATATATATTTTATTATTTAATTATGTGAATCCGTGGTCCTAAACCGATCCAATCCGTGTTTAAATGGATTGGTTCGGATTGGTTCCACGATTTAAACGAATTGGATTGGTTCCAATTTTTCAAGAACCGTGGTAACGGATTGGTCCTGGTTTTACTTCAATCCGGTCCAATCCGAACCATGCTCACCCCTACCTTCCCCTGT